TTCCCACTCTTCACATAAGTCGTGAACTGTTCAACAAGTTTTAAGCTGCTTGCTGACTTATTGTGTAGGATCACGTGGAAATCATCTGAGCCTTTATCCATACATATAAAATAAATATATAGAGTGATCTAGTGATCGCCCCCTGCACTGAGCACTGGTGTGGCACCTCGAGTCCTGTGTCCAGTTCTGGGCTCCTCACACAAAGAAAGGCATTGAGGGGCTGGAGAACGTCCAGAGAAGGGCAATGGAGCTGGAGAAGAGTCTGGAGCACAAGACTGATGAGGAGCAGCTGAGGGAGCTGGGGCTGTTCAGCCTGGAGAAAAGGAGGCTCAGGAATGACCTTATGCTCCCCAAAACTCCTGACAGGAGGGTGCAGCCAGAGGGGGGTTGGTTTCTTTTCTCAGGCAAAAAGTGACAGAGAAAGGGAAATGGCCTCAGGCTGTGCCAGGGGAGAGGTTCAGGGTGGACATCAGGAAGAATTTCTTCACAGAAAGGGTAACCAGGCATTAGAATTTACTGCCCTCAAAGGCAGTGAAACCAAATTCCCTGGAGGTGTTCAAGAAACCACAAGATGTGTCGTGTAGTGCTGTGGTCTGGTTTACGAGGCGGTGATTGATCTAAGGTTGGACTCGGTGATCTTGGAAGTCTTTCCAACCTTAATGACCCTATAATTCTATGATTCCCTACTAGGTTCCACAGTCTAACAGAAGAACTTTACCACCTAATTATTTTTTAGATTGGTATTAATGAAGGGGTGACAGAAATGTATAAATTGTTACAGGATATCTGAATAATCTCAATTTCTTATTGTATTGCTCTTCTTCCGCTTAACATGTTTCAAGCAAGCGCTTACTGATGTATGATTTTCAAAACCAATTTGGATGTGATCCCATACTAAGAATTATTACAAGAAACATGGACTTGGAAAAATGTGAGGCCTTATACTCCCAGTGTTGATATATGTGAGGTAACCGTGGTAAACCCAACTGCTGACCTCTGGGATTTTTGGGCTGAATGAGTTGAATAAGCATTATATTCCAAGCTCTCAATAAAATCACAGTGCTTCACCAATGGCTAGCAGAACTTGGAAAACTTTCAGCTTACTTTGCAGCTTTTGATGATTTATAAAACTGCCAACAGGACTTAGGCATAACGTTTTGATTGAGACACTGGTAAAATTTTGAGTGAGCTTTTTCTTATTTCAGAGTTTCTTAAGCAGACTGAAAGGCTACAAGAAACATTTGCAAATGACACCGGATAATTTTTACACAGAGTTTAACATTCATAATTTTTAAGTGATGCCTTTTATTTGTTTATGTGGCATAAGCATAGGTATAAAACATGGAATGCTTGTAAATAAAAAGCTGCTATTGTGTGGGAGCGCTAATGTGAATAATAAACATTAAGCTTTTCTGTGAACTGTAATTCAGCCACTTTTTCATTTCTGGTGTTTACTTGCAACTTGTAATAAGAGAGTAATTAACTCAGCTCTGAAAGAAATGATGAGTTACCTGCTGGATTTCAAGCACTTGATATTTAAAATAGATGGAAGTGTTACACTGCTTGCATTTTTTTAGCGGATAAGAAAGTTTAAGATCTTTTGAATGGATGAGCATTTATTAATATATTTATCTGTCCAGAGTTTATGGTTAATAGCTCACCTATCTTCCCACAAAATCACTATGAGGATTGACAGTTCTAGATACTCTAGGAAACTGTCTTGAGATTGGAATTGGATTGGAAGCTGAAACCAGCACTCATTACTTCAGCTTCAGTTCTTACTCTTTATGTTCAGAAGACAGGAATTGTTATGTTTCCTCTAAAACCATGCTGTGAGAATTAAATCTTAACAAATTCCCATTGTTAAAATCATGGAGGAGTTTTAGGAATATGGAGGATGAGCAGTAATTGCACTTCCATATGTGCATAACTTTAAGTAGATGAGTAATCCCCTTGAAATAATTGGTAATATTAATGCACGTAAAACTAAGCAGCTGTGTAATTGCTTGAAGGATTGGAGTCAGTGTTCTAAAACTGGCTTAAATTTAATCTTACATAAACTACAGATAATATGACAACAGGTCATCATAGCTCAAGTTTTTTTGATATTATTTCATCAATTTTGGCAGGCTCCAACAGGAATGAATATGAATCTGGGGAATAGGAGAGTTTTGTCTGGCTTTGTAGATTTTGATTTTCTATCAGATTTTCCTTGTACTATATGGAATAGCATCTATAGAAGAACAAACACTTTTAAATAAGTATTGGTTCTTTTAAAATAAGAAAGTATTTGGTACTTTTAAAATACTTTTTAAAAAAAGATATATTTTCATTTGTACTAGAGAGTGAAGGTTCTTGTGGTTTGTGACTTATTTCTCAGTTGTAAGAAAAATCACATATTATTGTGCTTTCACATTTCAGTGAAAAGAAAAACTATCAATTATGTTAGAGGTGTCTTAAAGCATAAGACTGTCCTCTTGCAAATGCAGGAAAAACCCGCAAACACACTTCATACTCAAGGCCCCTCATGCCAATTTGCATGAGGATTAAATAGCTTTTTAATTGCTGTTAAATTATGCCAGTTAAACTGCGATTTCATGCAAATATTAAGCTGTAATGACATGCAGTGAATCATTTACTAAGATTTAGAACTTGGAACAAAGAGAGACAATTAATTGTAATCCTCAGATTCAGCTAAATTATGTGTCACTGGGCTTTTATGAATGTGGCCTGATTGCTTTGTTATCATTTATAAATTATACAAAGATTATTTGGCACATTGGAAAAAAGCTGGCAGCAATAACCTTTCTGCAGACATCTGTATGCAAAGCTCTTGGGGTTTTCCTTATATTGATTTTTAAGAAAAACAAGTAGATTGGTGAAAATAAGAGATCCTTTCCTCACAGCAAAATTCATGACTTTGAGTTTTATGCGAAAGAATAAAATACACTTCAGATGGATGAGCATTATAAAAACATGCAGCTCTTCTGCTGAGATGGAACTCAGCCAGGGTGTGAGTAATGGCTTTTGCTTCATTTACAAATTACAATGAGGAAGTATTTTGACACTTGCTGTGAAGGAGACTGGCGTGGATGCCTTATGGTGAAGCAGGTCTGCTCTGAAAGCAACAGAGCTGGGTGTGTGCCTCATGCAGTGCTTTGCACCTCATCTCATTTTATGTATTCCCCTCCTCTCTGAAGGCAAAGTGCATCTTCCTGTGTATGGGAGGAAGAGGAGCAAACCCAGCACCAAGTCTGGTGAGGGCAATGCAGTATTCTGCACTCTTGAGAGTGAGGACTGTCAGGAAAACAAATTGTTACTGTTTAAGTAAGAACTGTCCATTATACACTATTGGACTCTTAAAATTTAACGTCATTTGACTTCTGAAGTTACAGCAGAAGGGCAAAGATTAACCATCATCTTAGGATACTCAGAATCAGCATCTGGCTGTGCCCCTTGAGTTCATAATTGTGTTTTGATATCTATATATGTAGTATAGATAAATAGCGTCACTCGATGTAGAACTACATTTTTTCCCTTTTCACTTATTCTTTTCCTGTGAGGCATGCAGGAAAAATGGAAGCCAGTGACTGCAAACCAATATCCCAAGTCTGAGCATATGTTAAGTTACAAAAAAGTGTGTATATATATAACAAGAGAGGCAGTAAAGACTTCAAGTGTGTTGCCTGATTTTGCTGCTGAAATTCAGTGTTGACTTAAAAATACAGGCTATACTTTGTGGCAGAAGTTATTGAACAGAGCATAAGTTTGTCAGGTTCAAATTGTTTAAGCACAACATTAAAGAGAGGAATTCAGACAACTCAGACAACCAACATAAGCCTGCCTGACCTTGAAAAGATGGATCAATTCATCCAATTACTTTATAGTGGGAAATGTTAGACTTTATGTACAGAGTAATCAGACAGGGGATTAGATATGATGCTATTTGTTGCTCACAGTGTATGCAGAGATTTCTGATAGAGTACTTGCATATGGCAAAGAAATACAATAAGAAGGAAGAGTAGCAGTGAGAGATTGATAAGAAGTGGAAGTCAAATGAAAAGAGCCTAGGAGAAGGAGATTAACAATATATTCTAATGTGATTTTCATTCCTCTTACTGAAATTAGATTTCTATTATGGTGTTCTGCAAAGTGAACACTCTCCTCCATGAAATGCAGCTACATAAAGTAAAAATGGGAGCTGTACAATTTTGTAAAAGCACACAGTTCTTTCAAAGAATTAATCAAAGTGGATTTGAAGCTCATCTAGAAAGAAGTGGATGCCTGTCTTAAATCAAGGTGAGTTTTTTTCCCATAATGCCTCCCTTATCTTAGGGACAAATATAGGTTAGTCAAAAATCACAAAATTATGTATTCTAAAATTAATCAAAAAAACCCTAATGAATTTTCATTATGACAATTGCATAAGAAGGAATAGCTCTCTGTTAAAACAAGGTGATGGTACAAGAGGTTTAAATTATATCTCATCCTGATTTGTTACATTTTTTTCCTTTCTAAAAATTATTTTCTTGTCTTTTTTAGAGCATTTAGTTTTTATTTGATTGTGTGGGGATATCTGTCTTACACTTTTAATTTAAATTTGAGAAGACAGCAGAGCATGTTATATCAGTTTTTTTTCTTTACATGACTCCAGCTTTTTCAAAGTTTTTGGACCAGCAAATTTTCAAGTATATAAAATACACATTACTGGTAGTGAAAACACCATATTGCTATCTATATTACAACAATTACACCTCCTCCTATTACATCTCAGAATTGCAAGTTCAAAAGTCACCAAACTAAGAAACCTGGGTATGTTTATGGTTATCTAGACACTAAGCAGAAATATGCTGTTTGAATTTTCATTTTAAAAGTCTCTTTTGATTAACAGGAATGGAATTCTTCACAAGCTCATAGGTTTTTTTGTTTTTTTTTTTTTAAATTCAAAACCAAATAAAGGAGGCAACAGAACTGCCAACACTGGTAATGATCAGACTTACTGGTACATGCCATAGTTGGTGGGTCCTTCTCAGCTCTGAAATAACCCTTCTCACACTGACAGACAGAAGTTGCTTCGATGTGAGTCAAACTGTGTGGAGGGCACTTGGAGCACTTCACATTTCCAGCAAATGCTTTATAGAATCCAGGCCTGCAGGCTGCAAAGTAAGAAGATAGGTTTCATTAATAGAAGAATATTTTGGTCATAAATAAAATCTGTTCCAAGCAGTGATAATGCTGCTGCTTTCCTTTTCCATCCAGATATAGATGCCTTGATGATACAATTCTTGACATTTTTTATTTTGGTATATGGACTTAAAAGTATAAAAAGAATCTGTTCTTGGTATATAATAGGGAATTGTTAAGAAAGATAATTTCCCAATTTTTAGTCACTCTTCAGTGCTGCTGGAAATTGTCTCTAAATGACTTCACTACTATCACTAAACATTATTTATGTTTTATCTACATGTATTAACCAAACAGAGTGAATGTAACTTCTGTATCTGCCAGAGCTGTTATTATGGCTTCCTTACTGACGTAACGGACAACTTGCGATACCTAAAATATTGACCCCCACAAGTCCCTGATGAGACAGGGATGACATCCCCAAATATTTATGGCTGGTCTGACTTGCCTACAGCACCTCAAAAAACCTCTGAGAGCAAGGCCCCATCAGCTGGTCCCTGCTGGCACCAGAGGCTGGAGGATGAGGAAGGGATGAAGGAAGAGATGAAGGAAGGAGATGCTGACACCCTCCAGCACAAACCTTCACAACCTTTCTGATTGGGTTAAAAAAGGAAAAAACCTGGAAAGCAGTCAGCCTTGGGAGAGGGAATGTTGGGATGCTCAGAGTTACTGGGAGCTGGAGTCCCTGCTGTTCCTAACCACAGCACAAAGCTCACAAGCCTTTTTTTGCTGCCCATTTAAAGCAGAAACAAGTCATTAAAAAAGATCTCTCGGGCCTGCATTCTGAGATGTTATTTTAAAATCATCCTCAGGCTTCATCACACACATTTAAACAGAGATTTCTTTCTTTTCCTGCCAGCTACCACGTTTGCACATGCCAAGAGTGTATTGCAGTTTCTGTCTTCTGGCTTCCCCATATGAAAACATTAAAAATTAAAGAGCAACTCAGACATGTGCAGATTTTACAGACTCCTTTTCTTCTTAACTCCTCCAGCAGTACAATGGAAACCAGCACTATAAATATGATTTTGAGGTTCCATGTGGCTTTTTCTCACTTTAACATATTCAAGACTATTTTCCTCACACTGCTGCAGGAAATAGGCAGTAGCTCCTTTTGTTGTAATAAGATACAAAAAGATTTAAAATTAGGTGTTTCTAAAAGGTACCTCAAAGTATGCATTTAATGGATTCAGTGTCAGTTCATATTAATTGAGTTATTAAAAAGTATCAACTCATAGATAACATATACAGGATCAGTTTTTCTTCTGATTCCGAAGGCCTTTCTTGATATAAATGCAGTTTCAGTAGTAGCTGAATGAAAAGGAGTGAGATGACACTGAAAAAGATAACACTTGATTGCCTCCCACAACCCAAGAGCCAATTTTTCAAACGCAGTTTCAAGAGCTTAATTTTGACCCAGCAATTTCAGCAGTTCTCCTCCCAGTGTGCTGTTCTGACTTTGCTGAATAGACATTACAGAGGTATCCTGCCCTGCTGTCACTGACTGGGGGGAAAAAAAAAAAAAAAGGATTTCTGGTGTTAGAGATAAAAGGGGTGGGAACAGCAGGGATTTTCCCCTTGCAGGTAGGCTAGTGGTCTGATGCAATTGTGATTACAGTGAGTGGCAATTTTGCCCTGATTGGAAAGGCAGCAGGTTTGGTGCTGTGGGCACTGACTCCTCTCAGCTGTGCTGCAAGGAAGAGGGGAGGTAAGGCAAACCTGGGGGAAGGGTGTTGTGCTTCCCTGCTCCCTCCTCATCTTCTCATGCTCAAATCCTGCCCTGATAAATATTAAATCCTTGCTTTATTTCGTACGCTACGTTTGTGACTCAAGAGCTGACAATTCAAGATTACCGTTTCATTCAAAGCAAAATGAGTGCTCTTTAAAATCCTTATTACTTCTGCAATTCGTGTCTCAGTTCTGAAATCATTCCTTCTTCCCTTCTGTCCCCCAAACAACAAATTATTTTGGATTGAAAGAAACACAGGTCTCTCTTTCAAGAGCAATATTTTGTATAAAATTCAAGAACTCCACTATTTCAAAATAAAGCTCAAGGAGAAGATTTATTTCTAATTAAAACAAAATCTAAATGTTTTATTCTGAAATGGTAGTCTCTATTGTATTTAAAGCAATTAAATAGTCTTCTTTTAAAAGACTTACCGTGTTTTTGACATGGTAAGTCTTTTAAAAGAAAGCTCATACATACTCATGGAAAAGGTAGAGGGGAAAAATAAATGAATTAAGGCAGATCATTTCACTCCTTCTGAAGTTAACTCAAGTATACATCTATCCCTTAAGTCAAGTATGCATCGCATTCTGTGGCAGAGAAGTTACAGGGATACCAGAGAAGCTTTCAATTGAGAGGTTTACAAAGGTATTGACAACACACTCCTCACCCAAATGCAGAATCTCACAATCATGATTATTGATACTTTCAAATAAAAAAACAGCCTTTCATAAACAAGATAAAAGAACACAAGCTGAAAGCCCCAAAATGATCACAAGCTTGGGAAAACTCATCCCTCTGGATAACTCAGAGCATTCATGGTGGAATGAAACAAACTGTTACTGTCAAAGTCAAGGAATATGCAGCCTCAGTCTGAACTACAGCACTTCAGCTGCTGTACATATCTAAGCTTGGACTCTGATAACAATTATTGTCTTTCAGTGGCAAATTCAACAAAATAATTACTAAATTTACCATTTTCTACAGAAAAATCTCCAAATTATCTCTAATGATGATTACTCAAAAAAAAAAAAAGTTTGTTTTTTGTTACCACAGAGTATTTTTTCTACCTTCCAAATCACTGAGTGACATCTTGTTTCCCCTAATGTTTTCTACCAGAGGTGACTTTGTGAGTTACTGATTATAGGAACTGTATGAAATTTGACTTTTGTAAAGCCTGGGGAAAGACAGAATATTGTCTTAAAAGTTCAGTAATTAGCAGGGTATCTGAATGAACAATTTAAAGACACTACAGATTTCTCCAATGAAATATGAGCAACTAGGCAGAGAAGCACTAATAATTTAATTGGCTTAATAAAAGATAACACATCCATAAATGTGCTTCACTGCAGCTTCATCATGATTTGACCGTGAGTTTTGGAAATGACAGAAGTTTTCTAACTAATACAATTTTCCTTGTTTAATGTTGAATAGATGGGATTTAGTTTTGCTTGTTTACTGCATGGCCACCTGAGGGTTTTTTGAATTGCCCAGTCCAGTAAACAAAGCCATGGCTCCATCACTCCAAAACACAGCCCTGGGGCTCTCTTGTGCAAGTCTTTACTGCTGGAGGCTGCTACAGCCATTAAGTGCTTCCCCAGCCTCAGGGGTGTAAAATACATAGACACAAAACCCAGAAAATAAAAATGCAGCAGTCATCTGACTGGTCACAAAACCTTGTTCCTTAAAACAATCAAAAGCAGCATTTTCACTGCTGTTTGGGAGCACATCACTGTCTAAGATTGCAGTTTTCAGTAGTTTCAATTTCATAACATCTGAATTGACCACTACAGTTTTAGTTGAAGAGGAGTCCAAAGGAAATTTAGGAACAACTTTTAGGCATGTCTGACACTGTTGGTCTGTGGGTGGGAAGGTATTTGTCATGCAAATGGATTTTTTATAGCTTGCTGAGGACTCATCAATCAAATTAAATCAAAGAAGACACTGTTGTCATTTACAATGAATGGCAGCCATCAGTAGCTGTGGAAGAGGTGTTTTAATCTTTCTGAATCACACCGTTTGTTATGCATTTCCAACTCACATATTTTTTAACCTTGCTTTACTGGATCCCACTAATGCCCTGCGAGACTGGTATCTTTCATATTTGTTATATTCTGAATGATCTCACTTTTGAAGTCCTCTTATCCCTCTTCCATCTGCTCACTTTATAAAAAGGGCAATCCAGTAAGGCCTGTTCCATTCTACCACTGTGCAGAAAGAACTATGATAATACTTTACTCAATTTATATTTTAGTAGAAGTGTCCAGAAAAGAACATGAAAGAGTAACGCAATGAAAGTTGGATGCTCTATATTAAAAAAGGCAGAATACAATCACAAAATCAAGATTAGGATATTACAGGATTAGTACAATAAAGCTATGAGGACAACCTTTGATTGTGAGCACTGTCTGGTTAAATAATCCCATCGAAAGATGATTATCCCATGATTCTTGTTTCATTCAGGTCATGAATGGACTGTGAGGGGGATTCACTTTGGGTCGTGTTCAAAATGATAGTGGGACTGAGCAGCATGAATTGCTAGAAACCTGAGGAAGAATGCAGTGGAGGAAGGCCAGCTGTCACAGATTATAAATTATCAAACATGCTGGTTAGTACAAATGACAAAAATAAAAGACATCATGGTATTGAGAAAACAAAGATCTAGTTTGATTTAGTTCCTACACACAGTAAGGACGAGACAAGTGACACCTCTAAAAAACTTAATGACAGAATGAAAAAACTTTGGGGGACAATTGGCTGATTTCCCTTTTTCATTTGCAATAAACTTGATAATCAATATTTGTGGGTGCTGTGGTGTACAATTAAATGCATGTGTGCCCATATGCTGCAGCCAGTCTCTTCTCTTGCCAATATCTCTGCTCTGTAATATTTCTGCTCTTAGATCTGGAGAACTGACAGGAGCATTGCTCCAACCCTTGACTTGGGAGAGGAGACAGGCAGAGGAGACCAAAAGAGGCAGGTATAAGGCTGCTTCTTCAAATATGACTCCATAATGACAATAGGTAAATGAAATTAAACCTTCTTCCTCTCTGTGCTCTTTTTATCCCCCTAGTGACTCTTCTGTCATTCCCACATTTCAATATTCTCTGGTGTTTTTTAAATGAAAATTTTTAGAAGAAATGACAAAGGAGATAATCGCCACCTATAAACAGTATTTTCAGTTCACATCAGTGCAGTTTTTCTCTGTATAAATCACTAGTTTCAATACAATAACTTGAACAATTA